GCGCAGCCCCGCGTGCAGCGCCGCGCTCTCCGCCTTGGCCTTGGTGCGCACCTGGGCGATCTCCTCGTTGGCTCTGCGCCGGCGTGCGGAGGGAAGGGGACGGTGGTGACGTCTCTGGGTGCAGCCGGGAGCACCCCCAGACGCCATCGCACCGCGCTGCGGCAGCACCCCAGCTCCCGCTCGCCTGGGCGCTGCAGAGGCGGTTTCCCCACATGGAAAACCTGCACGAAACTGCATTAATTCAGCTCCCCCAGACTGCTGCACGGAAACTCCGCTTTCTCAGAGCGAAGCGAAACCTGCTCCTCGCCCGCATGGCTCAGGGCTGCCTTTGGTGAGCTGCTGCTCATCAGCTGAGCCCTTCCCACACCACAGACTGAGCCCTGCTGAAACCTGGGAACTCCTGAAATGGCTGCAAATAGACCGTGAACCTGTTTCCCCATTAAAAAAAAAACAAAACAACAAAACAAAACAAAAAAAAAAATAAAAAAAACCCCACCACCTAAGCAGAGACCAGAGAATCCATTCAGGGCTTTGTGCTGACTGACACCCATCGCCCCAGCCCCAGGCAGCTTTTCCCATCGCTGAGCTCCTGCCTTCCCGCCCCAGGAAAGGCAAAGGCAGACACTGCCCAAGAGGTCTGTAAGCACCCGAAAGCTCCTCAGCATGCCCAGCACCCTTGTGCATAACCTTACTTGTCCAATTTCTCTTCTGCATGGACTTTCAGGGCCTGATACCGCTGCTCTTCTTGCTTGACCCGCATTAAATAATCCTGAGCGCACTTCTTCAGAGCTTCTTCATTCTGGGGGAAAAAAAAAAGTACACTGGGACTGCGCACGGAGATGCTGCTCTGACGGGATGATAAATCCTGTTCTGAGTGTAAAAGAAAAAGGCTTTAAATAGACCCAGCTTCTCCCTTATGCTGGAGCCCCTCATCCAGCTGGGCAGCATGGAAAAACGGTGTGTGAATGGAGGCAGGGCTCCTCGAGGAACCAAGGCACGGACCTTCTTAAAGCCTTCCAGGACACCCTTCAGGTTCTCGTATCTCCGGAAGAGATCCGACAAGGACCTCTCCACCGAGTTGAGGTCTGCCAGCGCCTGGTCCTTTTCCATGGCGAGCTGCTGCAGGTTCTTCTGAGACGTCATGTTCGTCCTCTGCTCGTCCTCTGGGATGGAGAACAAACGGGAGATGCGGTGACTGAGTGGGGACGGCTGTGGCAGGTGGCCCCCCCGTGGCAGCTGCCCCCTGACCCACGTGCCCGGCCAGCTGCCGGTACCTTACCGATCATCTGGGCAATGGTCTTCTCGTACTCAGCCACGATTTTCCTAGAAGGAAGGGAGAGACACAGCAGGTCAGAGGCAGCAGTTTTTTGCAGACATGCACCCACGGCTCTGCTGCTGGCAAACGGGGCTTTATTCCTGCAGCCAAGAAACCGGGGGGCTCAACACAGCACAAGCACAAAGAGTTCGTGTCTCCTGACACATCCCACCCCAAGGATGCTGAGTGTAACGATGCTGAGCTGTAACGATGCTGAGCACAACGATGCTGAGCCATATCACCCTACCACTGCCCCACCCTGGGACGCCCACGGGAACACCCAGCGCAGCACCGCGCAGGGTGAGTGGCGAACGCGCGAAGAGAAGGCTCTGACCTCATCTCCAAGACTTCTTGGCGGCTCTCTTCGTATTTCTTCTTCCAGGCGTTGGCTTCAATCTCCTTTGTGATGATCTAGGATGCAGCAGATGGGACCCTTGGGACATGCTCTAGTGGGGTCCCCTCACTGCCCCACGCCTGCAATTGGGTGACCAGACCCCCCTGGGGCAGGGCAGCCCCCACTCCCCCCCGCAGCAGCATCCGACGGGGTCCCCAGCCCGTACCTCCTCCCGGATGAGCGTGAGCACGGCCGACTTCTCAGACTCGCTGAGGCAGATGCCGTCCAGGGGACTCTCGCTCCTACTCAGGCTGGTGATGACCACGGGGGGCTTGTCCATGGAGCACAGCCCGGGATTGCCCTGGGGAGAATGACCCAGCTGGGATGCTGTGTGGGCTTTCTTTTCACCCCACTCCCCCATTCTCCCCATTTTACCAGCCTCTGTTCAGGCATCGACACCCCTCCCTGCATGCTGACGGTGTCTGACACCCAGCAGAGCCCCAGAGAGGGTTTAGTGACTTTCTGCCAAGTCCCTTGCCAGGAGCTGGGGACACCCCTGGGGGCTTGGCACCCCGAAGGGGACACAGAGCAGGGGCCCGATTCGGAAGGAGGAGCCCCAGCTCTGAGCAGGGATGTCCTCACACCCCAGATCCCTTCACTTTCCCCATGGCTGGTTATCTCTAGCCTGGGGGATCTTTGCTGACCGTGAGG